CCTCCTTCACTCTATGCTGTACATGAATGCTGAATAGTGACAAGGTTTCCTCCCCTCCTTCACTCTATGCTGTACATGAACGCTGAATAGTGACAAGGTTTCCTCCCCTCCTTCACTCTATGCTGTACATGAATGCTGAATAGTGACAAGGTTTCCTCCCCTCCTTCACTCTATGCTGTACATGAATGCTGAATAGTGACAAGGTTTCCTCCCCTCCTTCACTCTATGCTGTATATGAACACTGAATAGTGACAAGGTTTCCTCCCCTCCTTCACTCTATGCTGTACATGAACACTGAATAGTGACAAGGTTTCCTCCCCTCCTTCACTCTATGCTGTACATGAATGCTGAATAGTGACAAGGTTTCCTCCCCTCCTTCACTCTATGCTGTACATGAACACTGAATAGTGACAAGGTTTCCTCCCCTCCTTCACTCTATGCTGTACATGAATGCTGAATAGTGACAAGGTTTCCTCCCCTCCTTCACTCTATGCTGTACATGAACGCTGAATAGTGACAAGGTTTCCTCCCCTCCTTCACTCTATGCTGTATATGAACACTGAATAGTGACAAGGTTTCCTCCCCTCCTTCACTCTAGATGCTGTACATTAATGCTGAATAGTGACAAGGTTTCCTCCCCTCCTTCACTCTAGATGCTGTACATGAACGCTGAATAGTGACAAGGTTTCCTCCCCTCCTTCACTCTAGATGCTGTATATGAACACTGAATAGTGACAAGGTTTCCTCCCCTCCTTCACTCTATGCTGTACATGAATGCTGAATAGTGACAAGGTTTCCTCCCCTCCTTCACTCTAGATGCTGTACATTAACGCTGAATAGTGACAAGGTTTCCTCCCCTCGTTCACTCTATGCTGTAAATGAACGCTGAATAGTGACAAGGTTTCCTCCCCTCCTTCACTCTATGCTGTACATAAATGCTGAATAGTGACAAGGTTTCCTCCCCTCCTTCACTCTATGCTGTATATGAACACTGAATAGTGACAAGGTTTCCTCCCCTCCTTCACTCTAGATGCTGTAAATGAACGCTGAATAGTGACAAGGTTTTCTCCCCTCCTTCACTCTATGCTGTACATGAATGCTGAATAGTGACAAGGTTTCCTCCCCTCCTTCACTCTATGCTGTACATGAACGCTGAATAGTGACAAGGTTTCCTCCCCTCCTTCACTCTATGCTGTACATGAACAATGAATAGTGACAAGGTTTCCTCCCCTCCTTCACTCTAGATGCTGTACATGAACGCTGAATAGTGACAAGGTTTCCTCCCCTCCTTCACTCTATGCTGTACATGAACAATGAATAGTGACAAGGTTTCCTCCCCTCCTTCACTCTATGCTGTACATGAACGCTGAATAGTGACAAGGTTTCCTCCCCTCCTTCACTCTATGCTGTATATGAACGCTGAATAGTGACAAGGTTTCCTCCCCTCCTTCACTCTATGCTGTATATGAACACTGAATAGTGACAAGGTTTCCTCCCCTCCTTCACTCTAGATGCTGTATATGAACGCTGAATAGTGACAAGGTTTCCTCCCCTCCTTCACTCTATGCTGTATATGAACACTGAATAGTGACAAGGTTTCCTCCCCTCCTTCACTCTAGATGCTGTACATTCACACACAAGATCTTTCTATGATACAGGTGCACATGTATGTTTCATTCTGTCTTCCCCTCTCTCCCCCTCTCATCTGGTCTTTTCTGTGGTATAACATCTTTACCTCATCCTCCCCCTCCCTCCCTCCCTCCCTCCCTCCCTCCCTCCCTCCCTCCCTCCCTCCCTCCCTCCCTCCCTCCCATTGTTATTTTGACCTCTTGCTTTTATGTCAGTAGAATACACCTGGCGTGACTTCTATAGAGCAATATTTTGATTTTTGGGAGACCTAAAATGACATTTTCTGTATCTGTAAATTTGTAAAATGTGGTTAATTACATATTGACATTTGACAAATTTTCAGAAACTTATGCTGTCAATTATCACATAGTTAATCAAGTCTGGGGGGTGTTTCATAAAGCTGTTCGTAAAGTTCCGCATGACTTTACGAACGACTTGTATATGAAAAGCCAAATGGGATGCTCAATTATGAGGTAGTCTGTCAATGACAGATCACCTATTGTTTTCGTCAGAATTTTCTTTATTATTTATTATTATTCTTTATTTTTATTTATTTCCTACACTTTTTTGTGCCTAGGATATTCGGTTTCGTCAATTTCATTCAATTTTGGCACAGTCATAGGTCATTGTCATGAGACGTGACGGGAACATTTTCAAGGTCATCAGGTCATTGTGACGTCATCCAAGCACCATTTTGTGAAATCCCATTATCCATCATATCTTCATGATGCATAAGCAAAGGTCATTCATATTCATATCACATATACTTCAGGTCAAGGGTCAACAAGTCATGTCATCAAAGGTTACATAAAGGTCATGACGCGCACGTACGCGCGCGTCAAAATTTTAAAATGCTCAAAATCACTTAACTATTAAACGAGAGTACGCTCACAACGCGCGGAAAAGATCAAATTCAAATTTTTTACATGATTTAGATTCCTCTTACCGTAAATGACAATTTACATTTTTTTCAGTCACTCTTGACCTTTCATAAAGCCGTGAGCGCGCGTCAAAAGTTCAAAATCCGCGCGTGCTGCTATGGGAAATATAATGCAAATTTGATCAAAAACATGAAATTTAAAAAATCGAAATAGCTCTTCAGATAGTCAATTGACCCCCAACTTTTATATCATGATTAGAAAAGGCATGAGTTGGAGATATGATTTCATGTGTCATTTGACCCTCAATTAACTCATGACGCCATCATAATGGCCTCCGAACTCAAAATTTCAATTTGCATATTATGACGTCAGCAGATTTTTGGAAAATTGATTGTATCTCTGTAAATATTGATCAATTTTCTTTCAAATTTTGATATATTCTACCTGCGAATATTCTCTACAAATGCAGTCACCACGATATTTCATTTTGACAATGGTATCATGGCGTATTTTTGCGATTAAAGGAGGCATGTCAATTTTTCACATTTTGCGTGTATTCTCTAAGGGACATGACTTTTTCTCAAAACTGGATTCTACATTCTCGTCTTTCGCGAGCCATATCTCCGTCGTTTTATCTTTGTTTACGCTGAGCTTTGAGTATGTTGTAGCTGAGACAATAAGCTATCACAAGTGTGCCCTTTATTTTTCGATCAGATGCCGGGATCATGCTCATATTTCACTTACAAAGTGGGATTTGAAAATTCCATTTTCCGTTTACGTGTAATCTCTATGGGAAATGTTTTGGTATATCGGTAACGCACTTGACTTCCGACCTCGAGGTCCCTGGTTCGAGTCCGGGCGTCTCCAACAATTTTTTTTCTTCACTTTTTTTTTCTTTTTGACCTTTCACTCTACCATCTCCATTGAATATTAAAACATGTAGAATCGCAAATAATGTAATAAACAACTACATGTATATTTACTTTATTATTACCCTATTATCACTTGATCCATTACTTTACTGAGCACTGCTCACTTTTGTAAAGGGTATGAAAATTAGGTTGCGCAGGAATTAGCCTTCCAATTTGTGAGAGGTAAATCCTTTGGAGCTTACAAAATTGAGGATGATATGACCAATTTATGATCAATTGTGATGAGTGTGGGTTTGCTGAGTGAAATGTGTGGTTTATGGGAATAACATTGTATGCATGAGTGAACAGGAATTGCATTTGTTATCACCGTATAGCAATGTAACTGTCCATGGTAGACTCAGTGGTTTGTTCATGGGAGTCAGGCCATGGTGCAGGGGAGGTGAAATGTAGGGTAGGACTTTGTTGGGTAGATGGGATAAGGGTCAAGAGGACATGTATGCCCTCCCCTCTCTCTTTCTCTCTCTCTGTCTCTCTTTCTGCCTGGGTTTGCTTGTGCATATCTTAACAATTCATTAGACAATTAACATTCAGCTATCAATCACTTAATCAACAATGTATCAGTCAATTGGTCAATCAATTAATCAATCAAGCATTCAATCACCATTCAGTATTTCAATCAATTTAACCATTCAATAAATCAATCATAATTAATCAATGACTCAGTCAATCACTCAATCTATCAACCAACCAACCAGTCGTTTTAGCACTTGAGTTTCGCACAAGAAATGGGTAACCTGAAGAATAAGTAGCCAACATCTGTGACATTTCTTTTTTCAACAAACCGTATTTGAATAAAATCAATTTACACAATCCCCATATGGTTATTAAGTAAATCAATGAGATGTTCAACTAATCTTACAATAACTTAAATGTGGGGTGAAGGTTTTTATTCAAAGTCACAGATGTAAAAAAAATATTAAAAATATAAATAAAAATAAATAAAAAATTACATGGAAATTGCAACATGTACCATCACTCCATCCTGACTCCCATGAACACGCCACTGAGTCTACCAGGGAAAGTTACAATGTTACAATAAAAAAATGCAATTCCTGTTCACTCATGCATAACAGTTTGGTTTAATAAACCATGAAATTAACTCAGCAAATCATGAATGTATCATATCACCCTCAATTTTGTAAGCTCCAAAGGATTTACCTCTCACAAATTGGAAGGCTAATTCCTGCGCAACCTAATTTTCATACCCTTTACAAAAGTGAGCAGTGCTCACCCAAGCATGAATTATTTTCAGACTTTTTGGTGTCACATGAAAGTTGAGTTTATGAGCTTTCCATACATATCAAAAAAATCTCCCAGAATCATATATTTTTTTATTTGGCAGCCATTTCAAAAGTGTATAGTTTTTTGGGGGGATGCACTGTATAGATTTTTAAATAGTTAATGTTGCCGCTGTTGTTGTTTAGTAAAGAAATGAACATCTGAATGACAAAATGAAGCAAAGTCATAATTATACACAATTTAAATCTGTTTCAGGTTCTTTACCAGTAACAAAGGAAGAAGAAAGAAGCATATGTTTTCTGATAGCTTTCAGACTTACTTTGTGGCAACGGATATGATGGCATTCTGGATGACCTGTCGTATTTCATGTGTGAACTGCTCATCGTTGCTTAGTTTATGATACCAGGGGTGCACATAGTCACGCAGTGTGAGCAACACAACCTAGGATAGCATGATAAATAGATATTGGATGTGTTCACATTTGCCAATGAACGTAATGTATGAGCATGCAGGGACTAATAGTTATATTTCATTTCATGTGTGAACTGCTCATCATTGCTCAGCTTCTGATACCAAGGACGTACATTGCCACATAGAGTCAGTAATACAATACACAGAAAGGAAGTGTTATTTTATTAATACCTATAAAATGGGCATGTAGGATTTGATAAACTTATTACTAATCTATTCAAACTCGGGGGTCATATGCATTATGTTTAATCACTAAGTGTATACTCAAAGAGTTAATCAAAATATTACTGGGGGAAACTTCATTTCGAGATAATATGTCTTTTTCTTAAACTGTGATCATTGAGTTATTTAATTGTTTAAAATGACAACAAATTAAGACAAAAATTGCAAAAAAAAACTTCCTTTTAAGTTTGTTCATACATGTGCAATGTACAAATGTACAATTATGAAAGATATTTTGTACTCACATAAATTTACTAATGAAACAAAGAATTAAAACTCAAACTACGACTCTTGAAAATATATATATATATATATATATATATATAGGAAAATTGTTTCATCAATTCAATGGGCACAGGACAAATTTTTAAATAATGCCTCCAGCACTACCTTTGGTGGGTGGAGGCATAACAATGTAGGAGATACATGTACATGCACTGTCAAATTAATGAATTACAACAACAAAAATAATTTGATACAAGAATGGATGGATGAGAGAAAAAAACTGTACCTCTTGGAGTTGATCATCTATGATACTAGCTCCGGTTAGTCTCTTGTCAATTTTATACGACCTTGGCTCAACTTGCATCTTTTCAACAATCTGGTTTATACAAAAAATAAAACAAATTAATGCAAACAAAACTCATCATAATGAGGACAATGGGAGCATGGAAATTACCTGTTATATTAGGTTAAAAACCCCAAAGAATAAAAAGAGCTGAGACAAGCAAAATGAGCTTGTTATAATTATCAGGTATCTCGCAATGTCAGAGTTCTTCATAATAAGTTTCCTCCGTATTGTTAATCTTTAATTTAATATGGTTTTTAATAGACTTTGCCACAATAATCTCCCAAGTATTTTTATTTATATTCTAAATTCATTTATTTTTACTTACTGAATTTTTTTTTTTTTTTACAGAGATGGGTACATGTATTTGGATGGTCTTTTTAATGCTCGTTTATTATTTATTAGTACCTGTCTCCCTCCAATACTCTCTTCCCGTAGCTGGGTCGCTGAGGTGATTAAATCCAAGATGGTCACCGAATCCGAGGCCCCAGGTCCGCTGTACACAACCCATAAGGCCCTGTCATTGCAGGAAGAAGAAAAAAAAGTTAAGACAAATTGGTGATCGTAATTAAATTTTCCTTCCTACATGTAGATATACGATAAATTTCGGAATAAGCTGCACACAATAACCCACTGAATACAGGAGCAGAGTGGGTCTTAAATTATGGGAATCCAAGAATTCAATATACATGTAGTGGGGGCTGTTAGTAGGGATATTTTGGTGCAAATTCTTCTAAAAGCACCAAATTTGGCCCAGAGGTAGCTTACGAGTATACCATACTATTGCAATTTCTGCTGGGCGCCGAGAAGGGGGCCCTCCAGGACGGCCATATTGTGTAAATCCAAAATGGCCGCCATCTAAGTTAAAGGTCAAGCGTACATGTAGTTCCAAAAGGAAAAGGGCTAGTATGATAAAAACTAGATGGAATTCGACTGCGCGCAGTCGAAAATGATGCCTCCGTCATAGAGCAATTTTACAAACCGAAACGGAAGAAATTTTTCAAATTCAAGTTCAATTGTAATCCATTAACATGTTCTCAGAATATCGTGATTACAAGCAATTTCTCATATACATATATGACCCTTTGATCTTTGACCTCATGACCCTAAAATCTACTCAGTTCATTGGCTCTGCAAGATTTCCTGAGTTAAATAGTAATCCATCTGTCAGTTCTAATGAGAATGCGTCCACAAGCTATTTTTGCATACATAATGAGCCCATGACCTTTGATCTTATGAACCATTCATTGGCTCTGCAAGATACATAAATGATCTAAGTTTGGCAGGAATCCATCAATCTGTTCTAATGATAATACGATCACAAGCTATTTTTGCATACATAATGAGCCGCATGACCTTGACCTTTACCTCATGACCCCAAAATCTAATCAGTTCATCAGCTCTGCAAGTAACATACATGACCTAAGTTTGGCAGGAATCCATCAATCGGTTCTTGAGATAAGGCGATCACGAGCTGTTTTTGCATACACAATGTGCGCTGTGACCTTTGACCTCGTGACCCCAAAATCTAATCAGCTCATTGGCTTTGCAAGATACATACATGACCAAAGTTTGGCAGGAATCCATCAATCGGTTCTTCAGATAACGCGATCACAAGCTGTTTTTGCATACATAATGAGCCCTGTGACCTTTGACCTCGTGACCCCAAAATCTAATCAGTTCATCAGCTCTGCAAGATACATACATGACCAAAGTTTGGCAGGAATCCATCAATCGGTTGTTCAGATAACGCGATCACAAGCTGTTTTTGCATACATAATGAGCCCTGTGACCTTTGACCTTTGACCTCGTGACCCAAAATGTAATCAGATTGTTTTCCTATAGTGATACACACTATCACTAAGTTTGAAGTTTAAATCTCCAGTGGTTCTTGAGATATCATGATAACAATCTCAATGTATGGAATTTCATAAGTTGACCTCTGTGACCCTTGACCTTTGACATATGTGCTCCAAAATCTAATCAGATCGTCTTCCTATGGTGATACATACTATCCTTAAGTTTGAAGTTTAAATCTCGAATGGTTCTTGAGATATCGCGCTAACAAACTCAATACAAGGAATTTCATAAGTTGACCTCTGTGACCTGTGACCTTTGACCTACGTACTCCAAAATCTAATCAGATCGTCTTCCTATGGTGATAAATACTATTCCCGAGTCTTAAGTTTAAATCTTAAATGGTTCTTGAGATATTGTGATAACGGTCGAACGGGACCTACGGACGGACGTACGGACGGACAACCCGAAAACATGATGCCTCCGGCACCACCTTCGGTGGCGGAGGCATAAAAATTATATATTTATGGGGTTTGGGGGTCAGAGAATTTGGATATAACGTTATTTCATCGATTTGAGGTCTCCTTGGGGCTTTTATACTGGCCATATTGGTCAAATCCAAAATGGCCGCCATTTGAGTTACAGGTCAAGTGTAGTTATGAAAGGAAATAGGCTACGGTAGTTTGATAAAAGTTGATACATTTATGGGGTTTTCGAGGTCAAAGAATCTGATTAAGATGTTCTTTCATCGATTTGAGGTCTCCTTGGGGCTGCCATACTGATTATACTGGTCAAATCCAAAATGGCTGCCATCTGATAGTTACAAGTCAAGTGTAGTTACGAAAGGAAATAGGCTAGAATGATAACAGTTTATATATTTATAGGGTTTCCGGGGTCAGAGAATCTGATATTCATGTTCTTTTACCAATTTGAGGTCTCCTTGGGGTCTCCTTGGGGCTGTCACAGAGATGCCAACCCTATCGGATGGCTGTCAGTAACATTTACCACATTTGTCTGTAACAAATGGGGGTCTTTCCGTAACGCAAGACACCGCAGCATAATTTTCGCGGAAAACGTACACAAACACCCAATCACTCTTACTGCATTTCGAACCTACCGTTTTTAAGTCCAAAATAAAGATGTGCATAAAAACGTTTTTTTTAATCTGTTTGCAGTCAAAGGATCTCCTCCTTGGGTACCCGCTCTTTTGGATGAATCCATGATAATATTCAGGAAGAAAACACCTCGTTCAAGCGTTGAACGGCAAATTCAAATCCACAGTCGAATGGCAGAACTCGTATCCTACACACGCACAAGTACAGTCAGCAGTACCACAGACACACCAGCCCAGGCCGCTAGGCCCAGCGTTCATGAACAACAACACACCGTATACCACACTTGCAATGCGCCCGCTGAATTACCGAAGTCTCCGCTACTATACTTTGAATGGGTATTGCGGGCGCCGCGCGCACGATCATCCACCACCATGCTTCCCCAAAATGCACGACCACACGTAGTATACTAGTATCAAAACAGTAATGACGGCTGTGTTGTTTCGGAATTAAACAAGATGGCGGCGGACAGACCATGTGCGCGAAAGTGCCTATCCAGTGTAGTCAAATTCTGTGAACTTATGAGTAATTGCGTGCGACATGCAGCGTTGTGTACGGAGGCTATGTGATAAAGGCAGCATTCGCTATAATGTACTTTTATTTATCGTTTCCCCGTAACCTTTGATTGTTTACCGTAACGCTGTAACAAGAGCATAAAAACTGTAACAAATACGGCGAAACCATAACGGTTGGCATCTCTGCTGTCATGCTAGTTATATTGGTCAAATCCAAAATGGCTGCCACCTCAGAGCAAAAGGTCAAGCGTAGTTCTAAAAGGAAAAGGGCTAGTATGATAAAAGTTTAAATATATATAAAAATTATATATTTATGGGGTTTGGGGGTCAGAGAATTTGGATATAACGTTATTTCATCGATTTGAGGTCTCCTTGGGGCTTTTATACTGGCCATATTGGTCAAATCCAAAATGGCCGCCATTTGAGTTACAGGTCAAGTGTAGTTATGAAAGGAAATAGGCTACGGTAGTTTGATAAAAGTTGATACATTTATGGGGTTTTCGAGGTCAAAGAATCTGATTAAGATGTTCTTTCATCGATTTGAGGTCTCCTTGGGGCTGCCATACTGATTATACTGGTCAAATCCAAAATGGCTGCCATCTGATAGTTACAAGTCAAGTGTAGTTACGAAAGGAAATAGGCTAGAATGATAACAGTTTATATATTTATAGGGTTTCCGGGGTCAGAGAATCTGATATTCATGTTCTTTTACCAATTTGAGGTCTCCTTGGGGTCTCCTTGGGGCTGTCACAGAGATGCCAACCCTATCGGATGGCTGTCAGTAACATTTACCACATTTGTCTGTAACAAATGGGGGTCTTTCCGTAACGCAAGACACCGCAGCATAATTTTCGCGGAAAACGTACACAAACACCCAATCACTCTTACTGCATTTCGAACCTACCGTTTTTAAGTCCAAAATAAAGATGTGCATAAAAACGTTTTTTTTAATCTGTTTGCAGTCAAAGGATCTCCTCCTTGGGTACCCGCTCTTTTGGATGAATCCATGATAATATTCAGGAAGAAAACACCTCGTTCAAGCGTTGAACGGCAAATTCAAATCCACAGTCGAATGGCAGAACTCGTATCCTACACACGCACAAGTACAGTCAGCAGTACCACAGACACACCAGCCCAGGCCGCTAGGCCCAGCGTTCATGAACAACAACACACCGTATACCACACTTGCAATGCGCCCGCTGAATTACCGAAGTCTCCGCTACTATACTTTGAATGGGTATTGCGGGCGCCGCGCGCACGATCATCCACCACCATGCTTCCCCAAAATGCACGACCACACGTAGTATACTAGTATCAAAACAGTAATGACGGCTGTGTTGTTTCGGAATTAAACAAGATGGCGGCGGACAGACCATGTGCGCGAAAGTGCCTATCCAGTGTAGTCAAATTCTGTGAACTTATGAGTAATTGCGTGCGACATGCAGCGTTGTGTACGGAGGCTATGTGATAAAGGCAGCATTCGCTATAATGTACTTTTATTTATCGTTTCCCCGTAACCTTTGATTGTTTACCGTAACGCTGTAACAAGAGCATAAAAACTGTAACAAATACGGCGAAACCATAACGGTTGGCATCTCTGCTGTCATGCTAGTTATATTGGTCAAATCCAAAATGGCTGCCACCTCAGAGCAAAAGGTCAAGCGTAGTTCTAAAAGGAAAAGGGCTAGTATGATAAAAGTTTAAATATATGGGGGTTTTCGGGGTCTGAGAATCTGATTATGATGTTCTTTTATCGATTTTATGTCACCATCCTGTCCTAAGGCTACAATGAAGTCCATTTCCTGGTTGAAGAAGATGAAAGAAGACGCGCCAAATTCACATTTTGAGTGGGTTAATGACTTCACCGTATTTTGAGAGTCGTGAAAACAGTAGTTAGTTGGAGGTGTTGAATATGTTCCTCTTATGTCCTGTCTTACTCCCGATGAGGAGGTCGTCGATGTACATGTAGGCGTACACAACTGGTAGACTACGGGTTACCTCGATCATCAAAAAACCTTTAAAAAGTATATATGTGCGGCATTTCGTAGCTCAAAAGGCATGCGCACAAATTAAAATAACCCTTGGGGTGTGGTGATGGCTGTTTTGTGTACGTCTACTGGATCAACTGGAATTTGGTGGTACGCTCTGATGACATTGAGTTTGGAGAAAACTCTAGGCTGACGTTGAGAGTCAGGCTTCGGTCTCCTTAAGTAGTGATACTTGAGCGATTGACTACTTGCACGGAAAATTTTGAAGAAGGGTGCACATGTTTCTCAGATTTGGATGGAGCATGGACCTAGTAGGTCCATGGATGGAGGAAGAAAGTAACTTCAGTTCCACAAGAAATCTAATCCCTGTTTCCCATCCGTAATGTAGAAAAGGCGAACTTTTTGGCTGGTGCCAGTGGGACTTGTCGCTGCTAATCGCTGGCTGGGTCATTTCCCTGGTGTGAACAAGTTGATTTGAAAGTGCAGGGAGGAATACATTTCTTGGCTCGCTAACAAAACGAAAGTGATATTTGCAATCCCCTCCAGCATGGCATTGTGAACTGGAGCTTCGCGCTTGATGGTCTTGCTTCTGATGTGATATTTGCGCTTTCATTTTTCTGCATTTCCAGGAAAGGAGTATGGTGTGAAGAAGAAAAAGAAGAAGAGGAAGAAGACAGATAGGATAAAAGTAAGATGGAGAAGTTGTCACAACGATTTAATCGGCTAAATCAGTGAGTTTCTCAATCCCTATCGAGTCCCCAGTTGATGCTAAAATGAGCTGAACATAATTTTGTGGGCAGCCTCTGGAGAAATAGCTGTTTCAGAATGTTCTCCTCCAAATTGTTCACCCCAGCAGTTTTTTTTATCTTGCGAAGTAACTGCGAGGGTTTGCGATCTCTCAAAGTCCTCATAAATCAGCACCCGATGAAGGTGTTTTTGCTCAGAGGCGGAGTTCCTCTGTATCGCTTCAGCTTTCAGTTTAACGTAGGGCTGTTCTTGAGGAAGAGATATCAGTAAGTCCCAATTTCCTGGGCATATTCCGGCTGCAAAAAACCGACGACGTAGACAAACTTTGTTTTCTGTTGGGTGATGCCTCAGAGTCGGGTCATGAATCGTGCCTGGACTTGGGCAGCCAAATAGTAGGATCATTGTGCCAGACAGGAGGAAGATTGAGTTGAACATTGGAGACAGGTTAAGGGTAAGCAGATGTTTCAGAAGTTAAAGAATGGGTGTGATCGTCAGTAGGCATGATGACAGTTCAAAGAAATAAAGGAAAGGGAGACAATAATTGAAACAGTTTTGATGAAGGATGTCTGCGACTCAGCAGATTGGTCGGGTTTAGATCACGTCGGAGTCACCAGTGAAACGATGCTCTGCAAATGCGAGGGCGGATGTAGCAACAACATTGACAGCAACGACTAGTAGAACATAATGATGAAACGATATATGGGCGCAGACCAAGATTATACCCACTCAAGTGTGAATTTGGCGCATCTTCCCTCATCCTCTTGGGCAGCCAAATAGTAGGATCATTGTGCCAGACAGGAGGAAGATTGAGTTGAACATTGGAGACAGGTTAAGGGTAAGCAGAAGTTTCAGATGTTAAAGAATGGGTGTGATCGTCAGTAGGCATGATGACAGTTCAAAGAAATAAAGGAAAGGGAGACAATAATTGAAACAGTTTTGATGAAGGATGTCTGCGACTCAGCAGATTGGTCGGGTTTAGATCACGTCGGAGTCACCAGTGAAACGATGCTCTGCAAATGCGAGGGCGGATGTAGCAACAACATTGACAGCAACGACTAGTAGAACATAATGATGAAACGATATATGGGCGCAGACCAAGATTATACCCACTCAAGTGTGAATTTGGCGCATCTTCCCTCATCCTCTTCAACCAGGAAATGGACTTCATTGTAGCCTTAGGGCAGGATTGGTGACATAAAATCGATAAAAGAACATCATAATCAGATTATCCGACACCGGAAACCCCATGAATTTATCAACTTGTAACATACCAACTCTTTTCCTTTTAGAACTACACTTGACCTTTTACTCAGAGGTGGCAGCTATTTTGGATTGACCAATATGACCAGTTTGACAGCCCCAAGGAGATCTCAAATCGATGAAAGAACATCATAATCAGTTTCTCTGACCCCGAAAACCCCATAAATTTATAGACTGTTATCATACTAGCCTATTTCCTTTCGTAACTACACTTGACCTGTAACTATCAGATGGCGGCCATTAAGGCTGTGAAGGGTAGTCGAATGCTCGAGTACCCGCACGGTTGACAACTACTCGGGTACGATTTCTCGTACCCGAATATTCGCTTACCCGTGCCTGGGTGAGCAGCGGCCGCTGGCATGGTGCCGTCGGTAAAAATGTTTCCCAACTCAAGCACTGTCAAACTCACCACTCAGAAACTGGGACCAAATGTCTGGATTTCTGCTTGGACTTGGAGGAAAATAGATTATTATGCCATCCTTGGTTTTTAAAACAGCATTGTTCACTGTTATTATTATTATTATTAAATCGGCGCCTTCAACTGCAACTCAAAGTAAAATTGCATGCGTTTTCGGCCACAGAACTGGGATACTGCTCCAGTGGTACGTATGGTGGTGGCAAAAAAAACAAAATTTTTTTTAAAAAAAACAAAAAACATGGCGTCCGAATACTCGAGTATTCGCTTGTAAACATAGGAGTGTACTCGGGTACCTCATTACACTGTTGTGCACAGCCTTAGCGGCCATTTTGGAGTTGACCAATATAACTAGTATGGCAGCCCCAAGGAGACCTCATATCGATTATCTATGAAAGAACATCTTGATCAGATTCTTTGACCCCGAAAACCCCATAAATGTATCAACTTTTATCAAACTAGCCCCTTTCCTTTCTGTAACTCAAATGGCGGCCATTTTGGATTTGACCAATATAACCAGTATGACAGCCCAGCGGAGATCTCAAATCGATGAAAGAACATTAAATCAGATTCTCTGACCCCCAAAACCCCCACAATATATTCACTTTTATCATACAAGCCCTTTTCCTTTTGGAACTACGCTTGACCTTTAACTCAGATGGCGGCCATTTTGGATTTGCCCAATATGGTGGTCCCAGATGGTGCCCTTTTTGGTGCCTGGCAGAAATCGTAATAGTACAGTATAAGCTACCTCTGGGCCAAATTTGGTGCTTTTAGAAGTATCTGCACCAAACAACCCCTATATACAAATGTAGCCCTAACAGCCCTATTACAAGAGCTCGTACTTTCGTCATTTATCTGGAAGGGACGCTCATTCCGTTATTATAGGTCATAAAAAGATAGACATGGTATCAAAATGTTTGGAAAAAATGGGGATTATCATGGGAGTAACAAAAATGGCGATTCTAAAAAGATGGCCACCGAGTAATCAAGTATTCGCCTGTAAGCCTGAGAGTGTACTCGAGTACCACAGTACACGGTTATAAATGCACAGCCTTAGTGGTAGGGGTATACAATGTAAATCGGATAAACCAAATCTGCCTGCGATACAGTAAGTACTAGCTTCAAAATTGATGAAGATTTGCTAAATTACGATAATTTTTTAGGTAAACATTAGTTTTTTCCTGTTAATTTTATAAGAATATTGATGAATTTGGTATCATTTTGTAGAAACGATAGTGTTCTAGATACAAGAAAATTACGATGATTTGTTTGTTTGGTCCGTTTTTTTTTTTTTTTTTTCCTCTGCGAAATGTCAAAGTTGGGGTTGAGGCCTTATCGCAGGCAAATACGGTAATGATCTTATGATCACACGTGCGGCACAGCCTTGCACTGTGCGAACGGCGAGCAAGCATGCACCAAGAAATTGGGGCTTTACTACAGTCTATGTACTACAAGTAGTGTGTGTATTAAACCGTGATAGGGGTCATGCATGAAGCACAACATGTGACCTCCAGTTAATTTGACAGGGCATGTACTTTTTCAACTAGAAGGCGGGCATGCACAACCAATTCTGAGCGGTAGTAGGTCTTGGTCTCTGTTGATTGATGAATAATGTTTGAGGTGAACATCGCTAGCAAGGTTTATAAGTTGTTGAAATGATTTTAAGAAAGCTTTGTGCGTCTTACTTCGAGTACGTTTGTAAACCATGAAGTAAAGTCTATGATTCATATTCCTTCAACTCATACATAAGTCACTGCGTGCACACGGATACGAGAAATAGAACATGTGTAGTTGTCGAACGGACGAGTACCAAAACATCCATGTACACGTCGCAGGCTTACAAAATACATGTAGTATACTCACCCAACTGCAAAAGCTAGAAAGGATGAGATGAGCACTACCGGGTAGCTCAGACCAAACGTTGCCAGGAAGAGGGCAAGGCCCAACCCTAACCAGCCAATGCCCACCTTGCCCTCCTGTGAGTAGAAAAGAAGAAGAAAAAAATAATTAAAAATCAAATAATAAGCCCTGGTTGAATCACATGCATAAACATGCACATGTGTGATATTTGTAATAACAAAATGTACATGTTGAAGGAAAATTTTGATTAATAAATGATACAATGAAACGATGAAGGCCCTATATTGTAATATCATCCATAACAAATTAACTGAATGAGTGAACCCATGATACAATATTTCAAGAGAGTATTACTTATTCTCCAATTAAATGTGCTCTTTTGTTTACAAAGCAAAGAAATACATTGTATAATCATTAAATGCAATAAAAATGAACTACAGTCAAACCTCCCTTAGCGCCAACCTGTCCATAACGACCACTAATAAATCCCTCGCAGAACATTCATGTACTAACAAGCCCACCTACAGTATAACGACCATTTGCCTAACACAACCAGCGACCGCCCATTCTGACGCCGCAAGGAAGATGTTGTGTTGCCACAACGACTGCCTGCACCAGCTACAGGGCTGTCAGCAGTCAATCGCTGGCTCTCAGCCACTGTGTGAAGGACAAAACCGCAGTTGTTACACAGAAACGCATACACAATTAACACAAACAAGGCCATCCACTAGCGGTCGCTTCCGGCTACAGGAATCATGAAATGTCACTCAAAAAACATCAAACAATCAATAGAATATCTACAGGAGACGTTTTAAGCACACATTCTTTTTAGGTCCGAGTCATGTCAGGACTTTTATAAAAACGGGTCCCGACGGCCGACAGCACTGTTCGGGAACCGGTGTCCCGAAATCAGCTAGCAGGATCTGTCACTTGCCTCTATAAACAGCTAATGATGTGCATTGCACATTCCTTTCGTGACTAGTCCGAACTTGCGTAGCAACAGCTATCAGTATCGAAACTGTTGTGATTACCAAGTAATTTTCAGCTTTTAAAAGAAGCATGCAGTATCTAAAATAAGAGAAAAATATTTATTTTGTCTTTTCAAAATTATTTGATTGGTATGTTGTAAAAAAGAATTTTTTAGAAAACCGTTTTATTATTGTAACATTAATGCTTTTTAACCTGATTTATTCATCCTGCCGAGACCCGGCCAGTACAGTAGCTTGCTGGGCTGGCAACAACAGCCCCGTGCCGCGAACAGCGAACTGCTTTGCAACCCACACACAGACTACGCTGCTGCGCTAAGCTAAGTGCACATAATACCATACCTGCCAACTCTTACAAATAATTCAGAATATTCTGTTTTGGGGGATTTCTAGGACCTGAAAATCTGGAATATTCAGATTTTTCAAAATTGCGCTAGATCGGGTCAATCAAGAAAGTTATCTGTGTACGCGAGGGCCTTGAGTGTCACACAACTCTTCCACGTTCTCTTAGCACATGCGCTAACATGCATAGCCATCAATATGTAGAAGTATATTGCGAAACAACTACGTGTGCTGTCGCAATGAATTTAGTGTGTGAAGAGAATCACTTCCGTGTTCACTCCATCACAGCGAATTTGCAAATGATGCACTTGCCGATGTGCAAGAGGTATTTATAGGATACCCTTGCCATGCGGTATCGCTTGGCCAGTATTCGGTCAACGCATTGACATGTGACATTCAGTGCTTTATCGCGCAATTGTGTGAAAATAGTGCGCAAATACGCTTCGCTCGATTCGCTCCTTGGCAACGGAAATACCACGCACAAAGCGCGTGACCGAATTCTATTCGGCGCGACCAAATTCTGGGCAGAAAAATGCTCCGTCTTCTTTCGCAAGTATTTTTCTTATCATTTTTCTATATTTTAAGTGACTAGATCTATATAAAATCCTGTTAGACTTCTAGAGGAATAAATTCCTTTTCTTTTGAATTTGATGGGTAGATTGCCAAATAAAAGAGGTAGGGTCTAGGCCCTAATAGTCTAGACTGCATGTTATATTGTAATTTAGGCCTAGAGGGATCTAGGCTATAATAAATCAGTTCCACTTACCAACTTGACTGAAATAATCAGTTTAATGGTCCCTTTTAGGAAATTATGGGTCAAAATCGAAATTTATGTTGAAAATGACTGAAATAATCAGTTTAATGGTCCCTTTTTAGAAATTATGGGTCAAAATCGAAATCCATGTTGAGTTTAATGTCCCTTTTTAGGAAATTATGGGTCAAAATCGAAATCCATGTTGAAAATCTTTTTCAACATGGATTTCGATTTAACCCATAATTTCCTAAAAAGGGACCATTTAGGCTAACTGATTATTTCAGTCAAGTTGGTAAGTGGAACTGATTTATTATAGCCTAGATTTCTAGGCCTAATTTACAATATAACATGCACGAGGTAAAATGACATTTGGTGGGATTTTCGGGGCATAAGAATATGGCCATAAATGGCCATGGTGTTATCAAGGGAATGCGTATAGACTAGTCTAGATCTAGGTCTAGTCGGCTTCCGTCTCTAAAGAGAGAGCCGACCCTACCCCAATAAGAGGCTAACGTACGAAAGAGACGGAAAATTCGGTCTACTAATAGTCTAATTCAAAATAGACTCTAGTCTAGACTAGACCTAGACTATTAGCGATTTCCCCTTAAGACGTGACTGAATACTGGGCACTCTAGACTAGAATCTAGAGGCGGTCAGAGGAGCCAGATGCAATCTCAGCTCAGCGGAACAACTCTCGATATCAAAGACTGAAGCTTTTGGTCTAGTCTCAATGCAATGCATGTACACCTACATGTAGGCCTAGATCTAGGCCTATGTCATAGGTCCAACTAGCATGACTAGTAACTGTCAACATGTAAGGAATGGGCTGATCAAGCAAGATCAGATCAGCTCAGCTCAGCTCAGCTCAAGAGAGCACACAGCCTTTTGTCAAACGGCGAGTCAATGAATGGCAGAGGTCGGTGTTTACTTGCAGAAACAACACAACGTCAAAATAGATCTAGATCTAGGTCTAGTAAACTATGAATGAGTAGATCTAGATTCTAGACTCTATTACTATGAGCTTAGCCTTAGAGAAGTTAGACTTAGACTCTTAGAGGGTCTACCGTTAGATCTAACTTTAGATCTAGGTCTAGTACTAGTGCCAGTGGTCTTACTCTTACCATGATTTTAGCTTTGGATATGTGTCCGAGTCAGAAAATGACTGTTCCCCGACTGTTTCATACTATCAAAAAAATAAAACCGTCATGTTGTATACAACAGGCTTAGTAGATAAGATGAATATTCGGCCTGGAATACAGTCATCCTTCTAAAGTAAAAGTTCTATGCATTAATGAGCAATACAGTGCAGTACGTGCGTACTGTATGCAGCAGCTACAGTGTAGCAGCGCATTAGCGTAGAAATTACGCTCCTTGAATCTGATCTGGCGACCAATTACGGTGTCTTCAAAAGGGTAAAAGGAAAATAGAAAAAATATTTTTTCCCGCTCATTTTCTTTAGATGCTTCTCCAGGCGCGCCGGAAGCAGTTTGGGATTGGGGGGGGGGGGGGGGGGGGGGGGGGGGGGGGGGGGGGGGGGGGGGGGGGGGGGGCTGGGGGGGGGGGGCGGGGGGAGCGAGGCCGGGCGTCAAATTTTCGGGAGCAAAAAGGGGCTCACATCCAGGGGCAGTGACGTAATGAGAAAAAAAGTTGGAAAGGGGGGGGGGGGCAGACGGAAAATCTGCATCACCACCAGTCTTACACGTTACATGCAGGTCCCGCGGAACGTTTTCAAAAGTGGAGTATTATCGATCAGGTAGAGCGTAAATTGGCGTGGGGTCCAGGGCATGAGCCTCGGCAGGGGATCAAGGGGCTGAGCCCCCGGAAGCTCAGGGGTTTAGCTATTTAATTACGGTTAGATGAGCATCCAGGGGCCCTGTGCAAGTCAATTGACGTGTTCCAAGGGGGAGAGCCCCCAGAAGTTAAGAGGTTTTAATATTTAACTACGGTCAGATGAGCATCCAGGGACCGTCTTAGGGCCCTTGGTGTGGTCCAGGGGGCACAGCCCCCGGAAGTTCAGGGGTTTTAGGTATTTAATAACGGCCAGATGAGCATCCAGGGGCCCGCCTTAGGGCCCTTGGTTGGGTCCAGGGGGCAGAGTCCCCAGAAGCTAAGTGTTTTTAGGTATTTAATTAAGGTCAGATGAGCATCCAGGGGCCGCCTTAGGGCCCTTGTTTGGGTCCAGGGGGCAGAGCCCCGGAAGCTCAGGGGTTTTAGGTATTTAATTACGGTCAGATGAGCATCCAGGGGCCCGCCTTAGGTCCCTTGGGAGTGGTTCGGGGGCGGAGCCCCCGTAAGCTCTGGGGTTTTAAGCATTTAATTACGGTCAGATGAGCATTTTATATACCTATTTGTGACATTGGCAGGTCATTTTTTTTTTTTCTCCGTCTTTCTTTCTTTTTCTCTTTAACATACTCTTTCAAAAAGGAGGGGGGGGGGGGGGCTCGAACCCAGCCACTTTGCAGACCATGACATAAAGGCTTCTAAATAAGCGTATTTCGCCTGACTGTAATTTGGGAATTTCTTATTTTCCAACAAACGCATAAAAAGGTATGACTTACAAAAAAAATGGAGAAAAAATGCCAGAAAATCATGTCACAACATCAACATTTCTAAATCACTTGTTTCGAATAAGAAATACATCACCCCCAGCCACCCACACGCCAGCGTCCAGGGGCTCATGTCTTCTCACCCCTCTTTATAACAACAAAAAAAACGGACACGCTTTCCCATTCTCGCACAATATTGTCCACGATATGCGCGTATCGCTATTATAGAGACCTCCATTGATAACTACCGCATGCGCAATGTCTATGAAATTTAATTCCTGTGAACTTTCCTTTTTCTTTGAATGGAATTGTATATGTGATTTAATTCAGGTTTGTATTATTGTTACGTTCTTTTGGATTAAAAATACAAACCATGTTTACTCCTTTACTGTTTTTTTTTTTTTTTGAGGGGGGGGGGGGCGTTTTTTTTTTTTTGGGGGGGGGGGCAAAAATGCGTTTTGCCCCCCACTTTTTTGACTGGGGGGGGGGGGCAACTGCCCCCTGCCCCCCCCCCCCCCTCCACCACTTCCGGCGCCTATGTGCTTCTCGCTAGAAAATGTAATGAGTAATGAGTAATAACTTCCGGCTTTTTGGTGGTACATGTCACTTGTCGGAGGAACATGTCTTGACCTTACTGTTTAACTTTAATATCGGCCGGACAATGGCCTGATATCCCTTTCAAAATGAGGTGCCTAAATTTCAAGGCGCCTAAATCTCTGTTCGACATTTTTGTAATTCTTAGCTGATAACATATTCAAATAGACGAGATTTCCAGCTTTCTGTTGGTATATGTCACCTGCCAGGGGAAGATGTCTGGACCTTACTGTTAACTTTATAGTTGACTCTGTATTCTGAAAATGTTCGGTCAATTCGCACAATAGCTTGAAATCCCGAGTACGCAATCCAAACTAACATGCCTAACTCTCAAGACGCTTTAATCTTGGCCGACATTTTTTATTCTTAGCTGATAACATATTCAAATAAAAGAAATTTCCAGCTTTCTGGTGGTATAAGTCACCTGCCGGGGGAAGATGTCTGGACCTTACTGTTTAACTTTATAGTCGGCTCTGTATTTTGAAAATGTTCGGTCAATTCGCACAATAGCTTCAAATCCCGAGTACGCAATCCAAAATAACATGCCTAACTATCAAGGCGCTTTAATCTTTGGCCGACATTTTTTATTCTTAGCTGATAACATATTCAAATAAAAGAAATTTCCAGCTTTCTGGTGGTATAAGTCACCTGCTGGGGGAAGATGTCTGGACCTTACTGTTTAACTTTATAGTTGGCTC